CTTCAATCGTAGACTTACAAACAAAATAGTGGCACTAGATTACGTCTCTCTCGAAATAGAGGAAGTTTTGTACGGAACATTTTTTTAAATAACGAATAGTTCTGGAGGTAATTACATGTAATATTTAAAATGGGACACTCTAAACATATAAACAGAATCAAATGAACTTTACTTATTTTAGATAAGTAAATATGATTTGGTTTAAAATATGTTATGCAAATTATTGTAAATAAGTTCTAGTTGTAAATGACAATTGTAAATAAAAAATTTGTATAATTTGATTTTAAAAAGTTAATGAAGTAATGTATTTAAAAATAATAAAATTTATAATAAACCCTAACACTATTTATTTTATATACCCCTGTGTCTATTCTTATCGAAATGAGCATCTTTTACATCTAGTACATACAATTTCAAAACAAAAAGTTTTTCTCTAGGTCACCGTTTTTGTATTTTTATATCAAATTGAGTAGTTAAACAATTTAAATGCTTTGGTTCATAATGACCTGGTCATCGCAGCTCAAGCATTAATTACCTGAAGAGGAAGCTGCTTCAAAAATAACAAACAGGCGGCGGTACTATTGTGATATAAGCGCAATAGACGACCTTGGACTTACAAGTTCATTCATATAAAAATGGAAGAAGGATATGCGCATAATATAACAAAACGAAAGTTTTTATTTTCTGTGAAGGCAATACAGCTTCGCATAAAATATTCGAATCTACTCCTACTGATCGGTTCGATCTGCAACGTGCAGATCTCTTAATGAAGTTAAAAAATTACTACTTTCATATTTCCTTGGAAAGATATTGTCCCAAACAGTATCGTTAATTTTAAAGAAAGAGAGAAAAGTCGCTTACTTCCGTCATGGACATTTATATTACAATTTTTAAAAATTAGGAAAGACATACTTTAAATGGTTCATAGCTGCAGCATAATGCAATAATTTTCGATCGCAAATGAAATTCATTCGTTTGTTATCGACCATACATCAACCGTGTTGACATACCTGTTGAATAAATTGATACAATTAATGAAAAACGTTAATAATACCTCGAATTTTATAGCAAACTAGATTTTAAATAATATAAGGTACCGACAATTATTTTACTGTAAGTTACACAATATTATAGTAGTCGAAAGAAGTTGTCTGCGACCATGTTTCTATGCATAATTATAATAGATTAGAAATTGTGCCGTGTCACGAATGTTACCGAGGAAGGTGGGCTTGTTATCTCCCTAAGTTTACTCGTTGCCTTACTGTTTCGATAACCATAGTAGAAAAACATTCAGTGTCAGTAAAATAAATAGGAAGTTTTAAGATATTTTAGGAACAAGATTTCTCGAACATTCGCGAAAACAATACATTTGCACAACGAGATCTACGGTATTTAAAAGTACCATTCTTAATTATACTTAAAATATCATAACTCGAATTACAGATATCAACAGGAAATAACAGGCATCATATGCGTACATAAACGTTAAAAGTTTAATTTAAAAATTGTAACATATTATATGACGCTTTTTAAGTTATTATAAACAATATTCTTAATTTTAAATATTAGAACAACCCCAAGAGGAAGCACGCATTGACTTAAAATTTCTTCTACAGCATTTACAAAGGGCATCTTTTATATCACCTAAATTCCAATCTGAAGCATTGGTAATTGCCAAAGTTACAAATGTTCATTTTCGCGCATGACCAGTCCGCGTGCCGACCCAACTTATTTTTTACACTTGGGTCGTTGCTTCAAACTTTTTCAGACGACAGCTTGAGAAAACTAATTCAAGTGAATACTTATTTGGAGCCCTTAACAAAGATAGATTTAATACCTGGAGGTTCCATTTTTCTATTAAAAAATTCAGTTCGAGTTGAGAGAGCAGCGCGTACAGTACATAAAATAAAATTATGCAATGTTTGTGCATCATTTTTATACTGTATTATTGTGTTATGTTCTGTATATACATATATATATATATATATATATATATATATATATATATATATATATATATAAAATTGTGGGCTGGTGGAAAATAAAATTGTAAGAACGTTCGTACTATTCCAGTTTTATTTCAGAAAAGTTAGTCTCATGTGGCATCGGAAGGAAAATAAGAAATCTCAAAAAACATCTTTTTAATCATCAACCTTGAGGACTGTTTTCACTCCTTCCACAAGTAGAAATTTATTTTCTTTTCGGTAAAATGATATCGATAAAATATATTCGATAAAATATATCGAATATTTTTCTAAAAACTATTTCTCACATGAGTTTTATAAAAATCAAATTGCACAACTTGAATATGCTACCTTGTTAGATCAGTACCCGCAGCAATGCTTCAAGGAAAATAACGTTGGAGAAAGATAAGGCTCTCCCTTTCTCTCTTTTTCTTTCTCTCTCGGTTGCACTGCTCTAAATTTCAACGAAGGTAGGACAGTGCTCTAGAAAGCAATCAGAGCTCGTGTCTAAATCGTCATTTTCCAAACACATTGTAATTATTTTAACACTCACAAGTTTTTACTTATGCACTCTTATAGAGAAAAATGAAAAGAATACTAAAAAGATATCACTTCAATAGAAGTGATAAATAATACAATATCTCATTCTGAGAATAGTAAAACTATTTTGTACTGGAATATTTATACTCTTTTTCAAACAGGAGAATAAGAATAAGGATAATTTTTATTTATGACACATGTCGACATTACAGTCAGAGTTGGGCAAACTTCATTCAATGATATAATTTTGATTCCGACAATTTTAAGGCGTCCATGTTTTTGAAAAATCGATCGTAAAGGGTACACTTGGGGCAATATCCTGAATTTTTTTCAAATATTTAAATATTTCCATGATATAAAAAGACCGCATTTGTTTAAAATAATTGCAAAATAAATAGTGAAAAATCAATTTTTTTAATTAAAATTATTTTTTTTAGACACTCTCTTATGTTTCTACTATAATCACCTAGGAGCACGTTTTCATTAGTTTGGTAGTTCAGTAGTTATGATTTAATGAAAAAAGGTTGACATTTTATTCTCCAGGCCTGTAAAATTAATAATTCTGAAAGTTTTGAAAAATCCTCCGAAATTTGTTTATCCATCGCTAAAGTACATTTAAATACATATTTAAATTTCACCAAAATCTAAAACAGTACTCCAAAAAGTGTTCGATACTCTATAATGGCTCAGAAATCAATTATTTTTATTCGCAAAAACAAATAACATTTTATTCGTAAATGAATTATTAGTGAATGAACTATTTGCGAGTATCTTATCCACGATTAAGGTAACAGTAAATTATTCGAATAATTATTTAGACAAAAAAATTTATTCGAATAATAGCCAACTCTGATTACATTCAGTAAAGATTGACAAAGCAATTTAATGCTGCGTACTAATAGTCGCTTGCTAATTCTAAAATTTCAGTGTTATTATTATAACAACGTCATTGACGAACGGTTTCTTTAAAATGACCTCATTAAACGCTGCTTAACGTTAGGCGTACATACATAGCGTATTGAGCATACGGAACACTTTGTATACTCTGCGCATATCTGATACGTGAAGGTTTTTGTGATAAAAGCTGACGATTAGAATGAATCATCCACTACTCGAAAGTATTCCATCGATCACGAGTCGATTTCGAGAATCATGCACCTTACGGTTTAATTAAGAATAGAGCAAACCACAATAACAATGGCGACACGTTTCGTCACGTGACGGAGCTCTCATTGATCCATTTTATGCCAGACAGGACTGTACCTGCTTGCAATAAGCCTGAGTAAGAGCTATTACCGATTTTTCAATTTTACAAGCGAAGCCATGTCTTAAATATCTGCATCCCTAAACTATGTAGCAAATAGCACACACATTTTTATTTTTGCTTAATGAGTTAGTAAGCAAAAAGTAAAGAAAAATGGTTTTGATTAAATTGTTTAAAAGCTTTTTTTCTTGACCACTTATTCTAGTGTTACCCATGTTACTGCAAAAGTCACGTGGTTTTGTTGTGGTTGCTCTATTCTTAAATTGAATAAGTATGTAGATAACTTAAACTGTAAAAAACTTAGTACTTTACAATTCATAGAACTTCATATCTCATCCATCGTTTGTTATGAATCATCATCGTATGCAAAAGATATTTCGAAACAGTATTCACTGATTAACATGATCTATACCCATCGAATAATGAATCACAAGTTGCGTTTCGCGCGCACGTTAAGTCACCAATAGGTTAGCATGCGCTTTACTCACTCACAAATTGCATCTTGAAGTCTTGAAGTTCATTCGGGTTTGGTGTCCAAGATGGCCGCGATGACAGATACGTTGAGCTGTCCATTGTATGCTGGATACGCCTAAATTTCCAGTTTTTCATACTTGATACATGTTACAGTAACATGAATAGAATTACTCGGGATATTGTCACAATAGACGAAGAATGCACGACGGACAAATGACTTTTTCAGACACGCCTCATACGTATGCTACATTTTGTGTTCAGTCTGTGTTTTCACGGCGAGTAATTCATTCTGGAGAAGCAAGAACCTGCTACAAGGAAAACGATTAGAGGTTCCGTATCGTATTCTTCATGTAAATAGATTCTGCAACAAAATTTTCCTTTTTAAAGAAAACAAACCAGTTTGATCTATTCCATTAATTTCAGTGTAATGTCAGTTATTGTCATTCCTCCAATTGTGTGTATTTTTTTGCAGACAGAATTGTGATATTTATGTATTAGAGAACTTGAGTTCTTCTTAGAGTATTAGAAACCATGGAAGCAATTGTTGAATACAACTACGAAGCCCAAGCGCCTGACGAGTTAACTATAAAAAGGGGAGACATTATCCAGGAGATCAAAGTGATTCCAGGTGGTTGGTGGAAAGGAACTCTGAGGGATAAACGTGGCATGTTTCCTGATAACTTCGTCAAGGTATTGTCTTTGACACCTTAACAAAGTGTGAAATTGTGAATCATATAACGTGTTAGAAATTCATAATCCAATAGCTAACGAAGATTGTATGATATTTATTAATGGCAGTTTAATAACAAGTTGTCTTTCAAGAATCTTAAAGTTTAGTGCTACTGTTTCTGTTGTGAACTGTTTTTATAATTATGATATCTTATTAATCAATTTTAAATTATATTTGTATATTTTACATAACATACAAAACATTTTTACAAATATGAGAATAGTAGTGAATGTGCTAAGATATAATTAATATTTTATGTGCTTCGGTAAGAACATTTTTAAGTTACTAAAGAATAGTTTTACTATAATATTGTATAAAATAAACACTTTTTTTAGTATTGTCATCTTTATTGATCACAGAATGGTTGAGTTCTAACAAGTTAAATGATTTATTCTAAATATATCTTATTCAATAATAACAAAAATATCAATTATATATATTGTATCATTTTACAATATTCAGTATTCAATTGAATGTAGGTTTTAGATCCTCCATCAAGTAGAAGCACAGGAGAGAAAGTAGCAAATAATGTGACTGAAGAAGTTACATTGAGAAATGGAGGATCCAGAAAAAAATTTTGTAAAGTACTTTTCGATTATGAGCCATGTAACAAAGATGAACTAACATTGACACCTGAAGATACCATTGAATTTTTGGGTGAAGAAGAGAAAGGGTGGTGGAGAGGTAGACTTAAAGGCAAAGTTGGAGTTTTTCCTTCGAATTTTGTAACTCCTCCATTTTATGAAGATTCTGACAAATGCAAAGATGAAGACAAGAAAGATTACTGTAAAGTATTGTTTTCTTATGAAGCTGCTAGCGAAGATGAATTAACGTTAATGGAAGGAGAAATAATAACACTCTTGTCTAGAGATGCTCCTGATAAGGTGGATTATAATTATATGAACGTTGTACTATTATATATAAATATTGACGTTACATTTTCTAACAAATGTTCAATATTTTATAGGGTTGGTGGATAGGAAAACTGAAAGGTAAAGTGGGTTTATTTCCTGACAATTTTGTTGAAGTGATAACTACTACGTCAGAACTTCAAGACCATGAACAGAAACATGATTCCAAAAATAACACGAAACTTTCTCAACCATCGACGAAGAGTAAAAAGGCGCACGTTAGAAAAAGTTTAGATGTAGAAAATGTACATGCAGGTACATAACTAGTTTCAATCATTTTCATAACATTACATTAGAAGAGAAGGTAAATATACTTATAGTATCATTCTATCAAAAGTAGAAACAACTAAGAAAGTCATATCAAGGAGGAAGTCTCGAGAAGAAAGTAGCGGAGATATAAAAACTATAGGGGAACATTCAATCATATCAAACTTGAAACGTCTCGTAGGTGACGTGGAAACCAATAGTGGTAATGGAAGTACCAATACTTCTTTGGGTGAGGAGTTAGATGGAGTAGAACGAGGAGAAGGGGCACCGCTTTTGCATTTAACAGCATCTCGAGCCAAAGCACCCCGACGACGTCCACCTTCTTCTCAACGTTTACTACGTCGAGCTGCTGGACCAACCCCTATGACAGCAGTTAATGTTCGTTACACTATTTTGATTTTAAGTTACATCAAATCTTTGATAGACAAAATAGTGAATGATAGTAATGAATAGTGTAACGTTTAAATGCAATAAACTGGACTGCCAATTTTTATGTAAATTGATATTTATAGAGATTAGTTTATAAAAGTAAGAATACAATAAGAATTCCTATACTTCCTTAAACGTTTTATTGGTATACAAGTAATATAGAAACGCTTCTACATTTTTCTTTTAATTTTCAATATATTTACATAGAATTCGCAGTCTAATTAAAGCATGTAAAATTATTATACTTGTTTAAAAAATTTTATCTTAATACTACCCTTAGACATATAAAATATTTCTTTATTTATATATAATAGGAGGATAACGTAGCAAATGAAAGTATAGACACCGTATTAGAGCAATCACGTGAAGAAGAACCTGAAGGATTAACGGCAAAAGCAAGGAGAAAAGCACCTTGGGTTATTGAATACATTTTCTTTTTCATTAATTACAAACATATGATGTTTAATATATTTAATGATATATTAATTGTTTACAGGCGGAGGAATTAAAATGGAATCGATTCGATAGATGGAAAGTTGCATACGTCGATCAAGTTGACAAATCTAAAGTTAAGAAAAAACGTAATGTCATGAAGTAAGTTATTAGGAAAAATAATAACAACCTGTCAAAACTGAGTATTGAAGTATCCTACAAGTCACTTTAAAACTATTTTTAATTATTCCACAGAACACCAACAATAGAAATTTCTAGAATGACATTCCTAGAAGCCATTAATAACTTAGAAGCTGAACTACCTGATGACAGTAAATCTAAAGACAAAAATCAGAAATCTGACATGTCTCCACATTCTGAGCAGACATCACCTACTTCTGGAAACCCTGCTTATGTTCCATATGCTGTGTACAATCAGTTGTTAGAAAGGGTAAGTACACTAATTTGAAAATAATCAAGTGCTATTGTAATATCTTAATATCCTTAAATCTGTCATTAAACATTCTTTTTACCTTTTTTTTTCATAGAATGATCGATTTTGTTTCTGTAATTTTAAAATGTCAGGCCGAAATTTTTTTGTATATATCTGAAACTTTAAATGCTGCTAAAACTCTTAAAGAGCTTCGTAGCAGCAAGTTGATATGATCTCAAAAACTTAATACATATAAAAAAAGTATCTATTTATCATTTGACGAACATGGAACAAATTTTTTGTTTAAGTGC